ATATCCACATGTTAATTTGCGCAATATAAATATTAATTATTATTATTATTATTCTTATTATTTAAAAACATAATGAATGTATAAGTGAACATAGTTTGTTATGGTGTACAGCATTGGTTCAACTTGTGCCTTGAGGTAAGGTTTAATAATGTCAGTTTTAATTCAACTTTGATCATTAAACTTACCCACATCAGGGACAAGTATCAGCCTAGCTCGTAAAAAAAACTTTTTTCTTCCCAAAACCTCCTTAAATGGTTCTTTTTCTTGGTGAGTTTCAAGGTTTCGTTCGATCATTATTTGAATTGTTACTAATTTGAAATGTGAGACTCTTAAAATAAACATCAATTATTAATTATTAATTACAAAGACTTTGTTTTTAAACCCTGAATATCACTTTATTATGCTATTTCTCTTAATCAGTTCTGAATAATTTTCAGACATTGACGAATGCAGCAATCCAAAATTAAATGAATGCAGTGATCGCACCACTTGTGTTAACAAGATGGGCGGATACACTTGTAAGTGTGCTGTGGGGTATGAGGCAGACAAGGGAAGTAACGTTACCGGCATAGACATCAAGTGCAAAGGTCAGAAAATTCATATTTATAAAAGTATTAATGAGCTTTAAGATCACGAGTAAAATCAACCATCATGATACGGGTGTCACAATCGGCTGTGTCAGCTGGCGGTGTGAGACGTTTCTTGACAAATTACACCAGATTTGCCCATTAAGGACGCTACTTTTGGACATAATGTTGCGCTTAACAATCGATTTAAGAGATCACGAATGGTTTTTTTATTATAAACCTTACTGATTGTTAATTGCAAGATTAAGGCGAAATTCAGTGGCGACTTTTGCTAAAATAACCTCTGTAAGGTTCAACATTTATGTTTGTGAAAAACCGAGTAACTCTTACAGGCCCACTTCCAACAACAACGTTGTAAATATGATAAAATTCAACATTTTCATGGTATTAGATTATTTTTGTTCTGAACAGATGTAGACGAATGCTCAAGGAATCTCGATGCCTGTCACGCGAAGGCCACATGCTCTAACACCATAGGCTCATACAGGTGCACGTGTATGCAAGGACTTCGTGGAGACGGCCGCTTGAATTGCCAAAGTAAGATAAAATACCCCAAATTATAACATAACCGTGCGCTCTGATATATTGGTAAAAACTCGCCCGTGAACTTAGCTTAGCAATTCGTTTCCCCAACAGAGATGCAACCGTGCTCAGTTGACAAACTGTGCATGGAAAATGAAGTTTGCAAAGACTTTGGAGGTTTGCACTTGTGCGATTGTAAACAAGGTTATCATATTAAAGACAAAAGTTGTGTTGGTAAGGATTTTCCCCTTCATCTTTCTGCTCAAGAAATGTCAAAATTCCTACGTAGTTATATTACAGTTACGTGTTGGATGAACTGATTTATTTTTGACAGTTTTGCAGTAGAACAGCATTTCTTGTAAAACAATCCTTTCAGCGCTCAGCTATTATGAGCTTTTTTCGCTTCCAGTTAAGTAGAAGCTTGTCAACAAGAGAGTATTGAGTATTAATGAATTAGATATAATTTCATGTCATCTTTCTTCATCCTGAAGAGACGAATGAGTGCAATGAGGACAAGAGTATCTGCGGTTCAAACTCCGTTTGTACGAACACTCGGAGATCTTATTACTGCAGTTGTGAAGTAGGCTTCGAGAACAAAATGGACGATGGAAAGAACTGCTATGGTGAGTAACGATTAATAATCGAACTTTGCTCGGATTAGACGATTCTTGGTACATAGAATATGTTCTCCGTACAGATAGAGATGAATGCCAGAAAAAGAACTCCTGTGGAGACGTAGCGGCCTGTGAAAATACGGAAGGATCGTACCACTGCACCTGCCCTGAAGGCTTCACTTTTGATAAAAAAAAAACCAGCAGTGTGTAGGTAAGCAACAAACATTGAACAATCTTCAATTGAACATATTTTTGGCTCCAGTTTGCAGATGATGGAAGTATCCCATCCAGCCAGAGCTTGTATGGTTTCTACAGCATGAAGCGACTAGAAGTGTCACGACTCCCACCTAGATGGGATGCAATCCCATCGCAAGGTTATCCCTTTGCCCCCAAATGTCGGACAATTCGCCAGTGACTATTTGCACTCCCAGGTGGAGAGAGGCAAAATAAAAATAAATTGTTTTTCCCAAGAACACAATAAGAGTGAATCGACCAGGTTTAGAGCCCGAAGTCCAGCGCACGAGCTATTACGTCGCCGCTTAAAGAAATGTGTTACTAGAAAGGCTGTCTGACCTGCCGGAATGTTTCAGATGCGATCAGCAAGTAAAAACAAAATAAATACATTTCCAAATGAACCGCTTGCGCTGTTTTCATTCTCTCCCATACCTAAGAGTAGAGAATGGTAATAATGCGCGCATTCTGATCATTCAGATTGTGACCGCTTCTTGTAACGACCACAACTTGTTTTTCAAGAGTTAAGTCCTTTGAATTGAGACGTTTCGTTGCAACTGCAGAGATAGCGTTTTTATAAAAGGAGCTGAAAATTTCATAACAGTTTGCCCAACATGTCGACATGCTGCGCAGCTTTTTAAATGTTTCCGAGATTTCCGCGAAATGGAGCAAATTTAGGCTTTGAAAACGCACAACGAGAAACTTAAATCGTTCATGGAAACCGAACTAACATTCTTTTTCGAAACATCCATACATGAATAATACAAGCCGCAATCATTTGTAAAGCCGCATTATACACACAATCATGCTGATTGGTTCTTACTTAGGATCTATTGGAGGACAGACACCATAAACAACATTTTGCTTTTTTCACATAAAACAAATAGATTTTTTTGTTGCAGTGAGCCATCTAGTAATAATTCAAAGAAGACGTCGAATGTAGTTAAGAACATCATTGAAGCACTCAGCTGCGTCTGATATGCCAGTTTTATGTTTTTACCACATTTTGACGTCATCTATCATCCATTTTGTCTGATATGCCGGTTTTATGTTTTTACCCCATTTTGACGTCATCTTTGATCCATATCTGAACAGTCGCATGGCAACATGGAGTATATTCGTTAAACAGATGCACAGCAACATCCATTCATTTCGAACAGTGAAATCCACTTGAACAATTTGGCTTTTGCTGCAGTTCTGCACCTTAGTGATTGCTGGCCGTTCTGAAAAGTCGCGTTTGTAGCGTAAATCTTGTATCTTTTCTAAATATCCGATCTCTGCTTCCCTTCAGATGTTGACGAATGCACTGATGTTTACACGTGTGGTGCTCATATGGCTTGTGAGAACTCGTTTGGATCTTATTCCTGCACTTGTCGCCAAGGATACCGTCTGGACCAAAAGAACAAAACCTGCATAGGTAATCCGTACACACAAGGATAATTTTCAGGAGCCGAAAACAGCAAATGATAGAGGATTATCTTACACAATCACGAATAAGAAGACGAAGGGCCTGTTATCAAATCACCCAGAATATTACGGAAAGAATCAGCTCCATATCAATTTTGTTGTGAACAAAACACCAGAGCTAAGTTGTTCGAAGGGCGGATAACCCCATCGAACGAATAAGTCGCTATCAAGCGGATAGGTGTTAACAAAACGTGCTGCACGATCGACCGGACAGAATTTAACCATTGGATAGCGAACGACCAGGGCCAGGCTTCTTGTGATTCGCCTATTGGCGCTGTCGTTTTAAGACTCCGTAACAAGGTAGCCTAGGAGCTAATTAGGAATCTAACCATATGTGATGCAAAGACAGTTATGATTTACTTTTCTTCTGTGGTGACTCGGTATAAAAGCTGACAACTGGCGTCGAGTAAACCGAACTGAACTTTAGAAAGTTGTGGGAGGGAGCTCAGAAGCTAACCTTGACTTTTCAAAGATAGCTATGTTTGTGCGTTCAGTTCCTCTGGATAGTCGGTGTTTTTACAGTTGCAGATAAAACTAAGTATTTCCTGATAGTAACGATGGATGAAAAAGTATAAATTTGCAGTTTCTTCTCTTAGTTCTGGCCTTAAGGACGTCTTCTGAGATTCGTTTTAATTCCTTGTATCAATAATAAATGAATAGATCAAATGCAAATGATAATTTTCTCTCTGCTGTTCGTAGACATTGATGAATGCGAGGAAGACACATCTAATTGTACTAAGTTTTCAAAGTGTAGAAACCTCAATGGCGCTTATGAATGTCACTGTAAAGGTGGTTATGAAAAAACATCACAGGGAACTTGTAAAGGTAACACATCGTTTTCGTTTATGATTTTACCCCTTAATATTTATTACCGACTTCAGGGTCAGTTGACTGCACCCAAGCTAATGCCGTACGTTAATACAAGTCCAGATAATAAATGTATACGGTGAGAACACAGACTTCTCTGTTATGTGTCTTACACAAATGTCTTTCATCATTGTTTTCAGAAATTTGCATCCCTGCTTGCGATGCAAATTCATATTGTAAAAGAGGAAAGTGTTTATGTTTGAATGGCTATTCTCTCGGCCCAGACCTCACGTGTGAATCAGGTTAGTGATGCGATTAAATGAGATGGAAAGGCATCGGTTGGTATAGAATGTGTTAGGATGCGATAGAATGGGATATAATGACAGAATTGGATAGGATGGGATCAGATTGGATAGACTGGATAGATCAAATCGGTTGGAATAGAAATGCATGCATTATAGTGAGGTAAAGTGGGGTGCGATGGGATGGAAAGAGGTTAGATGGGATGTAGGGAATAAGATGATATGGGAAAAATAGGATGTTATTGAACCGGATAAGATGGCATAGAAAGCGAGATGAGATAAAATGAGATGGCACAGAATTAACTGGAATGCATTGGGACGAAATAGAATGGTATTAGATGAGATACCAGGGTTCATGAAATAAATCTTAGATCCTCTGCGGTAGAAAGGTTTGGCCCCTGTTAGAACTTGGTGTTGAAAGATTGCAGCAATGGTGAGTTCCAAGCGAAATATTCGAGAGAGCCTGGAGCGAAGACAAGGTTAAGCCCCTTCAGGGACTCTTTTGAAAATTTTGCAGTAATAGTGCATCCCTAACGTAATGTCCGAGGGGCGGAAGAAAAGCCTCATCCTTGAATCTCCCAATACTGCAGTCGTAATAATCATTCTTCTTGGTGTACCAACCATATGCTTCGAATCGTTACAGGTTTTCTCCGATCATCAGGCGTGTTTCTTCGTTCTGGAGAAGTGTTACTCGTCAGAATAGCAACATTACCGTTCCTGGTCCTGCGACATCTTTCAAAATGAATTTTTTTCTCTTTGTGTATTAACTATTTCTGTATTGAGTGTAAAAGAAAAAAATTCAGAAACTGAAACCAAATCATAACTATGCGTCGTAACAATAACAAAAAAATTTCATTTGTAAATTGATATTATTAAACAAAAGCCCTTCCTCACTGACTGATTTTAACTTTCACAAAGCAACTTATTCTCATGGATGAAATTCCATCAGTCTATAGAGAAGAAATGACCTGGACGGAGAGCTCATCACGGGTTTTCTCACGGGTAGGAGAGCCCGGGTAATTAAAGTGTTGGGTCATGCGTAGCGTGCGCATGTCGAGTTAAGCATAAATGCGGGAAGTTTGTCCAGAATATTGTGTGTTGGTTTGTGTTGGAAATTTGGAAAATTCTGAACTTTTACGATTTTAAGATTAAAATCTCTTCTTGAACATTACTTTTAGGACACACAACACCTAGATATAATATTTACCGTTTAAAAAACAAAGCGAAAAACGTACAAATTTCTTGCATTTACGAGACCCGTGTGGTACATTCACTATGTTGGAATTGTCGTTTATCAGACTCTACGACCAGAAAATTGCATAGCGTTGTATTCAAAATTCTGAAAATTGTATCGTTCTAAAAAACAAAATCTTCAAATGGACTACATTTTTGGGACAGATCAGTACCTAGGATAATATCAACCGTTCATAGGAAGAGTCCCCAGCGTCTCAAATCCTCAGTTGAAGTCAGACAGCTCAGTTTTGTTTTTCAAGCCATAATTTGCATCGCGTTTGAGAAGGAAGTATCGTTTAATCCAAAACTAATTTTGTCGCTTGAAAGAGCTACAAACTCATTTTCTTTATTAAGTATTATTTAAGATATTTACTTTTCATTTTGAGCTCCCAAAGTTCTCTCTCAATTTAGATGGAACGGCAATCAAAGTTAAAAGCTTTGAAACCTCGCAATTAAACTGGACGGGAATTTGCAGCTGAGTTAAAAACTGAAATCGTCATGTTATTGATGCCCGGCAAGTCGTGCGTACATAAGGATTTTTACCACAGTAGCTTCTTAGGGAATAGGTCGGTCTTGCACCCGCAATATGTTACAAAAGGACTGAATTGGTTCACGCTCAGCGTATGTACATTGAGGTATGAATGCACGCGGGAAGATTGGAGAACACGAAAGAAGCGTAAGAATTGCTCGAGGCGCAGCCTTGACCAACTCTAGCTTCTAGAGTTTTCTCCAAACTTCCCAAGTTCATGCGTGACTTGATTTATGCACAGCTAAGAACACGAACCAATTCTTCTACAAAAACAGCGGACACGACTTGCGCTTGAAGAAAGAGTGTTACTATTATTGCGTCAGGTTTACCAGGTAATCGTGATCTACCCGAAAAAATTAATAAAAATCGAAGCTAAAATCGAACGTATTTTTCTCGTGTACGATACAGCCTACTAGATTCAGCATGCTTGAATAGTTCTGTCCAATAATTCATGGTCAGAAAATTGCGTAGGATTGTGATTAAAATTCTAAAACTGCACTATTTTAAAATCAAATAATCTATTGAAAAATACTTTCAGAACATTAATATTTCGAGATAAGATTCAGCGTTCCAATAAAAACACAATAATAGTAGTATGGGGATTAAAATTTCAAAAGCTATGACACATGCTGAACGAGTAATTGATAAGTTAAAAGATGTGTTTTAGAAGGGTCTTAAGATTTGATAGTGAGCTGCTCTGTTTGATATTGTTGATATTATTTGAAACACCTTTGGATTTTGAAAGTGAAGTTATTTTAGTCACTTTGGCCTCTTATAAAGGCGTTTTTACTACAATTTTTGTGTCTGAAAAGTTCAAATTGGCTTCTTAAAATCTCTTTGTGGCAGTTTGTGCAGCTTTCCAATATCAATCAACCGAGATTTTTGACATTTACTCATTATTATTGTAAACCTATCAAATCACTTTATTTTTCAACTTTTCCAATAAAAAAACCAGCGCGTACCATCACATTTGGCTTTTTTCTCGGAAATAAAATCCTTTAGTGACCAATATTTTCCTAAGGTGGCTGGATATTAGCCTCGTTCTTTTTTCGGACGTCATCTTCGTCTCGGTTCATAAAAAAGCAAAGAGGAACTCGGCTAATATCCAGCCATCTTGACCCCACGCTCAATCAATAACGCATATATAAAGTTAAACTTTTATTTAGCGGCCACTCAAGCTTTGGAATTTTGTCGAGAGCGTGCGCAGTCATTTGATAGTGCCCAAGTAATTACTTATTGACGTCATTAAATTACTTCAGCTTTCGCAAAAAAAATTTCAGTGAAACAAGTGTTGAACAGTCGCTATGTAGTATGGAGACTTAAGTAGGCCGTGTATCCTTGGATAAGGATTTTATTCTAATGAGCAGAAATATCGTTGCTGGGATTTTGTTTGTTGTTTTGCTGCAATATTTTGTAATGCTAAACGGTAAGGTTTATGGCGATATGGTATTGTTCTATATGTGACAGTTACATAGTATCGTGTTTTCACGTTTGAATTAAGATAGTCAAGTCTTCATACCATTTGCCATATCAGTTTAAGTGGTTTTGTGATTTTTTTTCTACGTTTACCCTATTGTAAGAAATAATGACCCCTGAAATTTTGTTTTATTTATAACCCAAATAGAATCGATCAATACTCATAACTTTGTAAATGCTATTTGCAAGTGCTATTTTTTACGGATAACTAGTTTTGTGAATGATTGTCAGACGACTTGCTAAGGATTTCAAAATGTGTGAAGTAATGTTCTGTATACTAAGGCTGTGCTGTTTTTTTTTTTTCTCTTAACTTCAAATATGTTGATAATTTTTTTTAGTCATTGGAAAGTGGATTGATATTGCCAGCAAACGACCTACATATCAAAGTAGCACACAAACTCCGCATCAGGCCAGTTATGCTGTAGACGGAAATACTGAGACCTGCTCCAGCACCCGTGACCTGAGAAAGCAAATGTGGATGGTTGACTTGGAAATGAGAGCATGGGTAGAATATGTTTTAATAGAAAGTAAAAGAGAGCTACCAAATGTTGATATCAGAATAGGTAAGGGTCAAGGTAACAATGAGATAATTTGTATTTATAAACCAGGCATATGATAAAAATGTCGATCCATCTTTGGAAATTAAACGGTGCTGATGAGATGTGAATTTTATGTTCGAGTGGCAAGAACAATATCAACGAGTGAGAGTGAGTGCCGCGAACGAGAGAGATATTTTTCTGGCAACGAAGACATACAATTCAAATCTTCAAACTAACTTGTAATTTTCTTTTTATTCTATGGACATAAAATAATATAAATGAATAAATGACAGAGATTGAAAAGCTGGCTTTAATACACGTTCTCAGTGCCAAAATTATAAAAAAAAGTTTTGCATATAGCACCGTCGGTTGGGCCAAAATACATGCTAACTGCTTAATAGAAAATCGATTGTTGATTTTGACTTGAATCATCAGACACTGTAGTTTCAGCCTCTTTTTACTACGAACCTTTGAAGGCTGTTCACTACGAAGAAATCATCACTTGCTTCGCGGATGCATTGGTCGTTTTGATTCTACGAGTGTTTTAGTTCCCGGTAAAACACTCCCGTCCATATCATTAAAACGAACGAAAACTTGCTTTTGTGATATATCGTTACGAAGCATCGCCCGCTCTACGATTATCATGATTATATACAACTATTTACCTAAGTGGAGGTGGTTAGTGGTGGATGTTTCCTGAGCCGCGAGCGGCTCCATCCATAATTATTTTATACTAAAACAGCAAGATATTACAGCATAAAAAGATGATTTTAACTAATTCACTTCTGCAATGATGATGATACTTTCTGGCACAAATCCCGAAGGTGAGTAGTAAATGTTTTTCGGAGTTTGAGTAGCCAACCAGGCCGAGCCTTCATCGCCATCAGCTGTTTTAGAAAATACTAAATTGGGAAATTCCGTCGACAGAGCGTTAGCTGTTGGTGATGTGCAGCGCGCTCTACGATATACCGTTGCATCGATGTTTCACAGGAGTGATCTATCGCTGAAACGAAGTATCACAGAAAAGCACCAATATCTCATCGTTTTTGGTCCAACTCTTTAGAAAACTCGCGACATGTCAATGATATATCAGTACGATTTTTCGGAAGAAGAAAGAGCAATAATCGATACTAAAAGTTTGCATTACTATTTCACAGTACTATAACTACCTGAAAAGTGTTTTATTGTAGTGTTTTAGTGGCAAAGGACTTGTGATGTAAACTTCTCAAGTGAATTGACGAAAAATAATCCAACACGACTCCAATCTAATTACAGGTGATCAGGAAACCCCGGCTTTCGAATCTAATCCACTGTGTCGCCAAGGTCTTCAAGTCCCCAAAAATGATGACATGATATATGGTTGTGCTGAGCCAATGCTGGGCAAATATGTTTATATTTCAATCGACTACAATGGAGCAGCAACGCTAGAATTGTGTGATGTTAAGGTCTTCGTGAATGGTAAGATCCTGCTAGTCTATCTTAATATGAGCAAGGCCAAGTTTTCTTGCATTAATCGTATCAGCCTTGTCTCTCTTCTTCGGTATCTGTTTGCATCCGCCCGTTCATCGCCTACGTCCTTGCACCCATTTACTTATTTAATTTTACCTGTTTAATTTTTCACACTGGCATTACTTATACATCGCGGCAGCTAGTTATAAAACCGACCGCAACAGTAGTGATCTGTAATTCTTTGCAAGAGGTTTACATTTTGGCTAATCATTGTTGAAAATGTAATACAAAACTTTTTCTGGATCCTTGCCTTCAGGTGATGCAATAGACGGCAAAATGACTTACCTTCTTCCTACGAGTTATGGCAGACATCTGGTCCAGGGAAAGTTTTGGAAATCAGAGAAAAGTGACCAATTTGTGTTCAAAGTGGTCACCAAAAAAAGAGCTTATTCCCACAGAAGTTATAGGAAAGACGTCATTATAGATCTTCCGCCAAGGAAAGAAATGTTGAAGAATAATGCACCTATCGTAATGCCGTTGGAGCCAAGTTTAAAAAGCTACAAGGAAGATAAATGTAGCCCGAAGAATTATGATGTTCTTTACCTCAACGGAACGATCCTTGAATACTCTAAGGATAAAGGAGTTGTCGTAGTAAAAAGTGTTTACATCCGTAAGTTCTTTATTTATCAAACCTTTGTAAGCCTATAGCCTTTCGTGATTCTAGCTTGCTGTTCCCCATTGATAAGCATATCTTAAATGAAGCGAATTGGTAAAACTGGATGTGGCAGGGGAGGTTGGGGAAATGGAGGAGGTTCTTCGTCAATAAGTGCTTGGAGCGGCGCTATAACAGGGCTTTAAGGGGCAAATTCCACGCATGCGACAAGCTTGCGACAGTCCTTCTGCGAATTTTTTCGTGTAAACCAAACCTACAACTCGCTTACGACTGCTGCATACGTCTCAAAAATTGTCGTAGGATTTTGAAACATGTTTTAAAACGCTGCGACAATCGTAGCCAAAATCGATACAAACAATTTATTTTGTGACAAATTTCTGCTGAGCAGAAGGGGAAAAGTAAAGTATCTCCCGTTTTTAGGAGCCGGAGAAATTTATTTTGTTTTGGAGTAAAGGAGAAGTCCTGTTGAATAGCCGGTGCAAGGAATATTTAAGAAGGAGGGGATAACTATAGACCAATATCCGTACTTCCAACCGTAAGTAAAGTCATTGAAAGAGCAGTGCATATGCAACTCTACGCCATCCTAGGGTCACTTCAACTACTTGTAATAAATCAGTTTGGTTTCCGTCGAGGTAGATCAACATCTCTTGCCTTGACACAATTTACCGATGAAATTCTTGCAAATATGGACAATGGTCTCTTAAACGGAGTCATCTTTTTAGACCTAAAAAAGGCCTTTGACACTGTAGACCATACAATTTTGATTCATAAACTTAAAGTTCTGGGCGTGTCGGGGGTTAGCCTTGCTTGGTTTCAGTCCTATTTGACATCTCGTTCTCAGAGAACAGTTATAGGTCAAGCAACGTCATCCATCAGACGTGTTTCTATTGGAGTACCACAAGGATCTATTCTTGGTCCGCTCCTTTTCTCTATTTATATCAATGATTTGCCTAAATGCCTAAAGCACACATCTGTTACGCTATTTACCAATGATACTGCCTTATGCTGTTCCGCGAAATCCTCTACAGGTTTACACAAATGCTGAATGAGGATCTGGCTAGTGTAGCAGAGTGGCTTAATGACCATAAGCTTACACTAAATGTAGCCAAGTCTAAGTTTATGATAATTGCAAGTTCACAAAGGCTGAAGTCGTTCGGGAAAGTTAGCCTACAAATCAGTGACGAATTCCTTGACAAAGCAGATTGTTACAAATACTTGGGAGTTATTAACGAAACCCTAACTTGGGGTGATCATGTTAACTACATTTCAACGAAAGTAAATCAAAGACTTGGCATTCTCAGAAGGATTAAACATTTATTGCCAATACACACCAGGGAACTTTACGTTAAATCAATGATCTTGCCTCTTTTGGATTATGGTGACATTGTGTGGGGAACTCTATTGGCTAAAGTCCAGTTATTGCAAGGCAAAGCCGCTAAATTGATCCTTGACAAAGCTAAACACTCTTCCGCAACAGAGGCAATTAATGAGCTTGATTGGCTAGTTTTATCAGAAAGGCGACGGCAACACCGTCTTTCTTTTGTATTTAAATGCATGTATGGACTGATTAACTGGAATTTTAATTTTACACACTCAAGGGAAATACACCACTATAACACTAGGCACAAAGACAACGTTCTTTTTCCCAAATCTCGGTGCCAGTGGGGGCAACGAAAACTGACTTATCAAGCGCTACACAAATGGAACAGTCTTCCAATGTCTACACGAAGTGCAAATAGCCTTGATTTAATTATGAAGCTTATATAAACTATGTCAGTTCTCTAATTTTGTTATTGAATTTTACATTTTATCTTAAGATTCTATTGTAATTGTATTTTTAACTTTTCTTACATTTAACAATTTTTTTAGCTTATACATATTATAATTTCTACTCAGGACCAGCCTGAAAACCACCTGAGGAAGAGGTTACCTCCTGGCTAAAGATATTTGTTATTTATTTATTTATTTATTTATTTATTTATTTATTTATTAGTAGAGTTGTGTGTAATTTTGGCATGTCGTAGGTCAAAATTTCGTGCGCGAGTAATTGGTCCTAAGTCGTGTCTTAGGCCTTTCGCAAGCTTGTCGCATGCAGCAAATCAAGTTGTACCGTGAAAATCGGTCCTAACAGGTATCCGAAGTTCGTCTCACAGAATCAGCCATTAAAATTTTGGATAACCAGATACCTTGTGTTGACAAAGGTTAACTGAGTCCTCAATCTCACTAATGTCAATTCTAAGGCTCACTATGATTTATATCCATAAAACAGCTCTGCGCGAAAGGAGAACCAAGAAAATGCGGGAACGGATGTTTCATTGCAGTATAAAGGATTTGCGAATGAAAAGAGGTGAATAAATACGTGCTGTTATTGAATTCCCTGTCTTCTTTAAAGGCTCGTGATTGTTCTTGCTTAGTTTCAGTCGCAGTATTTCTTAAACTTCAGTTGATGTCACATCAACCATCAGTCTAATAGAAAGCATTTTTTTGTTCGTAGCTGACATTTGTGACTTTCCAAACAAATGTGGTGCCTCAGTCGGATCTCACTGTGACAAAACATTCATCAGTTCATCGTTTCCTCCGGGCGCCTATCACTGCAAGTGCAATGTTGGTTTCGTTCCATCTCCTTCTTCAAAACTTCGTATGGACAACCATGTCAATCCTGGTGAACGCTGCATCAGAAAACCAGAAGGTAGTTAGATTTGTTGATAAAAATTACGCACGAATTAATTGACTGACAAATTTTGTTGGGAAAAGAGTTGTCTCCAAGAGCAAACCAAATTTATAGATTTACTGACTGTTTAAACTTCCTTTTCATCAAAGGTTATCTCAAGCAATAAATACATACTTTTATTTTTGGTTCTTTCATTAGCGCGCTTTCAGATAGAACACAGCAATCAGAATCTTGCCTTAGCGATGAGAGTAACAGCGTCTTCGACTGACAACTTTGACGGTTGCAAGAAAAAGTACTGTAAAGAGGTTTACGCTTTTGGCCTGTTTGTAACAGATGGCAGTCTTAGGACATACTTCCTTTCACTAAACGAATACAAACCTTGGCTCATTGTGCACCTGGACGACTATCGTCTTGTGTCTTATGTTCGTGTTACTGCTTCCACGAAATTTTCTTTGGAACGTCTCAGTGTGTTCGTAGGTAAGATATACTGCAAGCTACGGATAAATATAACGGTATAGATATCTTGTTTTGAACCTCGGTCATCGACCCCTATGAAAAGAAATTTATGCTATGATGGAGACTGATCCAGGAGAGGACCCAGGAGAGTGACAATGATAAGAGGTATTATCGATGTGAACGGACCTCAGCTCGAGAAAACGGTTGGACACTTATTTCTTATAGTGCATAGGCCATACATAAGCCCTGCATCATTATCAAGGTTGAATTTATGTTGATGCATCCTCTTCAATTCGTTAATTTCTGGCTTCTTAACTTTCTTACCTTTTATTTTCAATTCCGTTCATTAATTGCGATTTGGTTTACCCTTTTACTCCCAATCTTGATTTAGCGTTGATTTCTTTAGTTTTTTCTTCTCACTCAGGCGAAATAAAAGAAAGCTCAAGTCACTTCAGACTGTGTGGATTTCGGCGCGAGATGGAGAAAGGACAGCAGTTAAGCTTCGGATGTAATGATTACTTGTTCGTAAATGCCGTTAAAATAACAACTTACTCTCGAATACTGAGTTTGTGTGAGGTTGAGGTGTACTCTCACTCGTATGGTAAGAACAGCAGTATGCAACATTTATTACTACATTTATAAGCTCTAACAAGACGATTTTGTCACTTATTTCTTTGAATTTCTTATTTTGCAACTTGATCTTCATACCTCGCCCACTGTTCGAAGTTTCGAAATCTGAGCAAAAAGATTTTTAAGTGATTGCTTTCGGCGGGGGTGTTTTCAAAAGTTAATAACTCACTCCCTTTCTTTAAAACTATCTAAAATCAACTTCATTTAAGCATTTAATGATGCTATGATGCTATGTTACCGTGTTTTTTCAGTAATAGTCTACCACAGATGATGCCAAAATGTGGTAGATGCAAAAGCCCTTCCTCAGAAGGAGTATCATAATTGTCGTTAGGACCCAAATAACTTCCTAGTTTATATTTTAAGACCCTTTTCTAGTATTCGGAACACCATGTTAGGAGATAGAGGCTGACATGTCGACATGCTGTTATCGGATTTTCACAGCGAACGTTGCTTTGCAACCTATATCTAAACACAAAAAGTCCCTCAAGAACGATGGAAATCTTCAGTCATGTTATACGAAAACAGGAACTGAGTGGTCTCTGGACCTGGGAAATAATATCCGCGTAGCAGTGGTATTTATATTGCACGATCACTCAACGTACCTTGAAGGTTCTGAAATAACAGTTGGTGAGTTCAGCTAGATGCTATTCTAAAATTATGACTTATACCACCAGTTGCGTTTTGGTTACAGTTCCGGGTTCACGCTTTTTGGTTGTTTCCATTTCTTCTCCTATCCCTTTTTTCTGTAAGTTTATACCAACGCATGGCTTTATACTGAATTCTCTTCGAACGTTTCCCTGAGCATAAAGGACCCAGGGTAGGAGTATTGGGACTCAGTAGTGTACTGTGCAGTAAAACTTTAATTAGGGGGGACCGTAGCTGGGAAGAAGGTGGGTTTTCTGTGACCTCATTGATCGTAAGGACTTGTTAGTACATGGTGTACTAAAGCTTTAAGTGGAGTAATTCCGGTGATAGTCTCGTAAGTGTTCTGTAATGCCTCGATGATCGCTAAGGACTATTAGTTTACCGTGTACCAAAGCTTGAATTAGGTGGGCCATCACTGACGAGGGTCCTTTAGGTACCTTGGGGTGTTCGCATAAGAAATACTTTTCTGTATCTTGAAAGTCGAAGTTATTCCGAAAGGCTGGTTCCATTTGCCTCTTTTCCCTCCTTTTGAAGGCAGGAAGCGTCTGTGCACAGGCTGCCTTCCTCCAATCAACAGCACGATTCAACGGCAAGGTTCCGCTCGCAATTCGAATACGCAGGGTTATACAAATAAAAATGAAAATCCTTCTAAGGATAAGACCGAGACAGGAGTGTGGTAAAACAATGAGGATAATTATAATTGTACAAAAAAATATGAATGTCTGTGTGTTTGTATGTGTGTCTGTCTCAGTGTGTATATGGAGTGTTCAACAGACGTGGTTCTAATCGCGAGTTGGGCTAAGTCAGGGTAAGTGTTACGCGTTGAGTCAAGAAGTTGGCCCAATAGAAAAATACAGAACTGACTGTTATGTTAGACTATCGTGTGTGTCACCCTTGTAATTACAGGTTACTCAGGAAAGAAAGAAATTTGTGCAACTATTCCTAAATATAAAGGATCAGGAAATTACTTTGAATGCCAGCAGCCTGTTATTGGGAATAAATTGAAAGTTACCTCGAAACGCCGTGGCACTTTTAAACTTTGTGAAGTGGAGGTTTTTCAGACAAAGACAGGTAAGAATATACGCTTTCTTTTGTAGGAACAATTTTACTCTTTTTCGTACAAATGTTGATCTACGAGTCAAGATACCCATGGTAGCAAAAGTTTGAAAAACTCCGTGAAGTACACGAAATGTGTTCTATTACGTTATAGATCGACCATTTATTACTTGTTTCGATTTATACTACAAATAATATTTTGATTCTGTTCAAGTAAACTTAGCTGGAAAGCGTCCTGCGAAAGCTACGGTAAATAACCACGATGCATACAGAGGCTGTGATCAGAAGATAGGTATTGCATTGTTTTGAAGGCAAATGTATTTACAGAATTTTTTTATTACATGTTCCTTTCGCGTTCAGTATTTACTAATAACCTTGTTCGTTTAATTCTTTCTTTCATCGCAGACAAGTCGTTCTCCATCAAAAAGGAAGGAATGAGAATTGGGTGGTATGTAGACTTGATAGCAGAATGTAAAGTCCATCTGGTGCGGATTGTGACATCGAAAGGCTACAAACCGGCTGATCTCAAAGGTTTAAAAGTTGTGATAGGTAATTTATCGAATACTTCTGTCAGACTCCTCTCTGAGGGCAACTTGAAAATCTTAGGCTTCACGACGAGAAAGTCAGAGCACCCTTGCCACATGCTGTTTGATGAATTCTTCTTTTGAATAACTCTTTGGTGTTTCCACATTGACAGGCACTCGTGAAGATTCTCTCTGGAGCAAAGAACGTCGTGTTGCTAGTCTGGATTTTCCAACAGCAAAATCTGTCCAGACAATAATTCTTCCAAAAGAAACCAGAGGGAGGTTTGTTGGCCTCACTTTTGAAAAAGCTGGCGTCAAACTCCAGTTCCTTGAGGTGGAAATTTACAATGGCCCGTTGTTAGGTAATAATATACAAATCAAATCAATTTTGATGATATTTACTTAAAACTTGAGCATCGTTTGATGCAGAGCTATTTATGGAATATTCTGTTTTTGAATTGTGGGGCTTGAATTGAGAACTGTTCATTACATATCAGTGTTGGTTCAATAAACAGTGCTGGTTCATTTTGTGTCAGTTTTGACGCGTTAAGCGGCGGGGCCACGGCAGACTTGCAACGGAATAACCAGTTTCTTTACTCAAACATCCTCTAGTCTTCGTCTCAGCGACTAGGCCTGGAGTTTCATCAAGTGCCCAGAAAACCGCCAGCAACGCAAGTTTATAATATGTACTTGTTTTTCCCTTAAAATTTTCGTTTTTTTAACGTTTTCTAGTCGTCGATGTCTGCAAAAAGCCTGACATTTGTGGCCACAATTACAAATGTGTGAATGGGAAAAAAATTCACTCTTGTATTTGTCCAAGTGGATTCCAAATAACAGGGCGGTATAAAGAATGCAAAGGTATGTAAAATGAAAGGCCGATATTAGTTTTGCTCTGAAGATTTCGATAAATTCGTTACTATGACTAACTGTCGGATTACGCAGAGATATTATGTTTGTTTAATTGTGCCGCAATTTAATTCAATTCGTTGTCTTATCAGCTCCTCGAAGCGGTTGCTCGTTCAATCTCGATTTAGTAGATTGCAAATATTAGTCGTTAGTATATATACCAACCAAGAAAATAGTGCTTTTTGTGTGCGCTTATTGGCTAGCCCTGATTTGATTAGCAGGTAATATTCACTTCCGAGCAGACGACGAGAAAAAATAGCGCGTCAAGAGCTTTCTAGTGAAACTGTATTAATGTTTTCGAAGAGCATCAATAGCTACGAGTTTTTTTTGTTTTTGTTATTTTTTTTACTCTGATAATTTTCCATTTTAACTTCTTAGACATCGACGAGTGCGCTTCTAGCAATGCATGTCCGAGGCATATAAAGAACTCTTATTGCAAGAACACCGCTGGATCATATAAGTGTTTTTGCAAGGAAGGTTACGAAGCTGTGACTAATCCTGAAGGAAATCTTCGTACATGTCGAGGTAAAACATTCTGATTTTGGCCGCAGAGTACTTGGAAACTACTCTGTTACTCAGTTAAAATAAGCCTTTCATTACCGTTGGTCATGTGCCTACCAATTGGTAAACTTGACTGGAATTGCATGATTTCAAGAAATATAAAGATCATGTTTCTTTCTGCCAGAATGCAGATCTCCAGATAAATGTCACTGGTCGAGATTTTTAGTTTTCAAGACGTGAAATCCCCCACTGGCTTTAGGTCGCGACTTAAATGTATACTTCAAAATCATTACATTACATTACATTTTTACATTTATCTAGCGCAGACTTCTATGTGGATATATTCAGTCGCGCTTAATAGTATCGTAAGGTTGAGATCGGACGTCAGCATTTTTATCAGGCGCCTCTGGCAGCCGCTTCAGTCCATGAAGCGATCTCACTTTCCCACCCCGGGGAGGACATCCACTCCACAGTAATCTCGTGCATGGGAAATTTACGTCTCCTGCCCCTGACCCTGCAGGAGACGGGACCTACGGCTTTACGTCTTATCCGAGAAGACTAAGCAATGTGAGTGAAGCGTCTTGCTTAAGAACACAACGTCATGCCCCAGCCAGGACTTGAACCCAGGCCAACTGACCCAGAGTCCAGCGCGCTGACCACTGGACTACTCACGCCTCACTCAGGTTTCCGAGTGAGGACTGGAACCTATTATTTTCGTTTCTATGGACATTTACCAAAAAATAATTTATTCATATTATGTTATCCTTGCATCGGACTCAAGACAAGTTCAAACGGCCACGGTTATGGAAAGCTCGATTAGCGACCATGACTTGGTTTATGTCACCTTAAAATTGAAGAAGGTGCGCTCCAAACCCGTCTATATTACAACCAGAAGTTATAAACACTACAGTCCTGTTGATTTTAGTAACGACGTATCACTGGCACCATGGTCCATAGTTGATGTTTTCGACGATGTCGAGGACAAACTTTATGCACTTGATTCGCTATTTACTGAGATACTCGACCGCCATGCTCCAGTTAAAACCTTTAAAGTACGCTGTAAACCAAATCCATGCGTAACAGACAACATCCGCGGATTGATGTAAGACCAGGGATGATTGGCGTAAGAAAGCAAAGAAAACAAATGATCCGCTATCTTGGACTGCCTACAGATATTTTAGACAGGAAGTAAAGAGGGAAATCAGAATTGCTGAACAGGAATTTGTTGCCGGACAAATCCAGAGGAATCCAAATAACATCAATAATATCTGGAAAGCAATTCGCCAGTGCATTCCCAGTAAATCTACATCTCAGCGAACATACAGTAAGAGCGACAAAGCTGTTGCAGACGAATTTAATCAGTTTTTCGTATCTGTTGGTCAGAGCACTGTTGACAAAATTACGTCCCTGGCTAATGAATGTAACCTAACACTTAATCAGAATTATTTTGTACCGAGACAATATGCTCTCTCTGACCAGTTCACACTGAGTACCATTGATTATAAACAAATAGAACGTGTAATAGCAGCGATGCCTTCAAACAAGGCCCCAAGGATAGACAAAATCCCGATTCGTGTCATCAAGGATTGTCTTAATCCAATTGTTCACCCAATAACGTCTGTTGTTAATGCATCCTTGCAAAACTGTGTTTTTCCATCAAAATGGAAAACAGCTGTGGTTACACCAATCCCAAAAGAGGGCGACCAGGAACAGGCAAACAATAATAGACCTATCTCACTTATACCAGTCTTATCAAAGGTTTGCGAAAGGGTAGTACATAATCAGCTCACCTCGTATCTGCAATCAAATGACACCCTATCAAAGAGCCAAAGCGGTAACAAAAGATGGCATTCGTGCGAAACGTCTGTGATTGAAACAACCGACACAATTCTTAACGCCATTGACAAAAAGAAGTTAAAGGCAGTTGTTCTATTAGATATGAGCAAAGCCTTCGATAGCCTCAATCACGACACGTTAATTTCAAAACTGCAAGATGTCGGAATTTCCAGTGACGCTCTCCAATGGTTTCGTAGTTACCTAAGCAACAGGACACAAGTAGTACGAATCCATTCAACGCTATCTGAGCCTTTGTCTGTGACCAACGGCATCCCTCAAGGAAGTATCTTAGGCCCACTACTATTTAGCATATATACGAACGATCTTCCATCGAACCCACAGAAATGCAGAGTTCAGAGTTATGTAGATGATACGAAACTCATCACTTCCTTCGAACTTAAGGACAACCTGGATGCAATTGCTGATTTGGAAGACGACTTGTTTAAAATAGGAGAATGGTGTTCCAACAACCAATTGTTACTTAACCCTGGCAAAACCAAGCTGATGATATTTGGCAGCAGGCAGATGCGTGCAAAATTGCAATTTCGCTCCCTTTCCTTTATGGGTGAGGACATCGTCCCCGCAGACACCGCCAAAGACCTTGGTGTGATTTTGGATTCCAATTTAACTTACGATGAACACATAATTGAGACCGCTTCCTCGTGCATGTCCCGCCTCGGCCAAATAAACCGTGTCAAGCATGTTTTCGACAAACGTACACTTTTGATGATTATTAATTCCTTAGTTTTCAGCAGGTTATTTTATTGTTCCAATGTTTGGTCAAATACCTCAAAATGTAATGTTAACAAGTTACAGGCGGTGCAGAACTTCGCATGCCGCATTGTTAGCGGTGCGCGTAAATTTGACCAAGTTACACCAATTCGCAAGGAACTAAATTGGCTTTCAGTTCAAAGCCAGCTTTACTACCGGAACGCTACTATGGCCTTTAGATGCATGACTGGTCAGGCTCCAGATTACCTCTCATCAAAATTCATAAAGCGAGCCGAAGTTAGTCGATGTAGCACCAGAAATTCGCAGCTTTTGCAAATTCCATTCTTTAGAACAGCTAGCGGTCAGAGAACATTTTTCTATAGAACTGTAAACTTATGGAACTCTTTGGATAATTCCTCTAAACTGTGCAACTCCGTTAATGTTTTTTAAAAAACGTTTAAGGAACAAATTACTCAAAGAGTTGTAATTTTATTTGTATATTTGTATACTTTTATTTTTCCTTTAGAACATTCAGATTTTAAAACATCTTTAATTGTAAATAGGATTTTCTAATTGTAATAGGATTATTTTTATAACATTGTCTTTGAAAAGCCCCCTTGGGGAAAGTCAATAAAGTATGTATGTATGTATTCAGTTCCGATCCTTACTCGGAAATCTGATTTTGGAGTATCCATTTAAGTCACGACCGTTTGCTTTAGTTGTCTAAGTTTCTCAAATTACCGCAGAGAAAAACAACGGATATATAAAATGAACATAATTGTGTTATGGTGAAGAGCTTTGGTTCAACTTGTGCTGTGAATCAATGTTTAGTAATGTGACTTTAAAGTCAACTTTGATCAGTGAACTAACCCACATTCAGGACAAGTATCAGTCCAGCTCCTAAACCAAAGTTCTTTTATCCCAAAACTTTCTAAAATTATGGCTCCTTTTCTATCATTCGACCATTACTTGACTCGTTACTGAATCAAAATCTGAGACTGTGAAATTTAAAATAAACATATTCTAAATTGAATAACAAAGACTTTTCTTCTAATCTCTGAATATCACTTTTCTGTACTATGTCTCATATTCAGTTCTGAATAATTTTCAGACATCGATGAATGCAGTAATCCAAGTTTGAACGAATGCAATGATCGCACTATCTGTGTCAACAACATAGGCGGATACACTTGTAAGTGTGCTGTGGGGTATGAGTCAGACAAGGGAGGTAAAGCTACCGGCATAGACATCAAGTGCAAAGGTGAGAACATTAATTTTTATAAAAGTATTAATGGTTGACGAAACTGCTAAGCTTAAAGATCACGAGTGAAATCAACCATCATGATATCATCATGATGTGGCTGAAGCAATCGGGTGGATCAGCGAGCGGTGTGAGACGTTTCTTGACAGCCTACGCCAGAATTGTCCCATAAGGACGCTATTCTTTCAGTCTTACTTTTAGACAAGGTTGCACTTGACTATTAATTAAGTCTGACTCATTGTTAACTCCGATTGTTAACTCCGATTGTTAAGGCGAAAATGGTGATGTTGGATAAGATAACTTCTCATTGTAACATTGATGTTTGTGAAAAACAATAACATTATAAATATGATAAAGATTTTCATGATATATAATGCATATTTTTTGTATTGGATTATTTTTGTTTTGAACAGATGTAGACGAATGCTCAAGTAATATCGATGCCTGTCACGCAAAGGCCACGTGCTCTAACACCATAGGCTCATACAAGTGCACGTGTTTGCAAGGACTTCGAGGAGACGGCCGCTTGAATTGCCTAAGTAAGAGTTTCTCTTACATAAAATACCGCAAATTATTACAAAACTTAGGCACAACGTACGCTCTGATATATTGGTAAAATGCAGCCACACAGATTTTTATTTGTCTGGTTTATCTGCCTTTGATTTGGAGGAAACAAAGAAATGCTCCGAACGCCAAACACATCGCAAAAGATTTTATGTTTTCAAATTTTCTTTTCAAAATTCAGCTTAACTAAATTGATGCTCCGTTTTAGGCGTTTATTTTTCGTTGCACAGTTAAAGTCAAAGATCTTCAGAAACTCCCGACTAGAATTTCCAAACTACTCACCGATAAGGAAAAGTTGGCATGTATTTTTCCCCCAGATAAAATTGGAACTACAAATTAAAATAAATGGATTTTTATTTCGATATTTGCTGAAAATTGTATTTACATGAGAAACAGAAAAGTTTCATGGCGCCACTGGACTGCGCCTTGTGGTTTAAAAACCTCTCTTGTGTTCTCCCAACATCACGTGTAGTTTATAAGCCGGTAAAACCGATAGAAAGTGTGGTCTACTGCTTAACGTTACCTCGCCAATATTTTAGTGCAGTCATGACACACACATTCAATGACCCTCACACAATCACATTTTTCCCCTCCAATTTCTCTTACCTCCACTTTTCCAAACCACCAATTCCAATTTCTTTCTTCCACCGGCTAGATTTGTTAAATCATCGGTATAAGGACGGAAATTGCTTCTGTTGCGCTGTGTCCTCGTAAATATTGGATCATTTTGTTTTAAGTCAGTTTTCCATACAGAATAATACATAGACTTGCATAAATGTGGAATTTGTCTTTGAATGTTCAAGTGTTAAATACAAAATTCCATATCTACAAACATGTATTACTTTGTTTTATTATATAGCTGGCAGCGCCCATGGCCAAAATGAAGCTAATCTTATGTTCTGATTGGCTACCCGAGTGGGCAAGATGGGCCCATCTAGCCCAATCGGGACTTCCCGCTTTGATCCCGCGCCAGAAAAAACGATAAATGGAGCGGAAGCAGTGATTGGCGTAATTTTAAATTGCACAGTTAAGACCTTCCTTAGGGCTGGAAATCATTGGAAAACACATCCACGAAATTAGGTTTTCCTTTTCCCAACAGAGATGCAGCCATGCTCAATTAACAAACCGTGCATGGAGAATGAAGTTTGCAAAGACTTCGGAGGTTTGCGCCTGTGCGATTGTAAACGAGGATATCATATCAAAGACAAAAGTTGTGTTGGTAAGAGAATTGTCTTAATCTTTATGCACAAGAAATGTCAAACTGCGTACGAAGTTATATTACAGTTATATGTTGGATGAATTGATTTATTTTTGATAGTCTTGTAGTAGAACAGAATCTCGTGTGTAAAAATCTTTTCAATGCCCAGCTACTACACGCTTTTTTGCTTCCGATTAAAGAAAAAATTTGAATATATCAACAAAGTTGAAATGGTAAATTGGCCACCGTTACGATTATAAAAGCTGACGTTTCGAGCGTTAGCCCTTCGCTCCGACGAACGGCTAACGCTCGAAACGTCAGATTTTATAATCATAACGGTGGCCAATTTACCATTTAAACTTTGTTGATATATTCAAATTATTTCGTTACCCCCACCGACGCAGCCCCAAACAGTTTCTTTAGAAACTATCAGCATTTATTCAATTAAAGGAAAGCTTGTCAAAAAGGGAGAATTGAGCATGAATGAATACAATATAATTTTATGTAATCTTTCTTCATCCTGAAGAAACAAATGAGTGTAATGAGGACAAAAGTATCTGCGGTTCAAACTCCGTTTGTACAAATACTCGGGGATCTTATCACTGCAACTGTGAAGTGGGCTTCGAGAGCAAAATGGACGATGGAAAGAACTGCACTGGTCAGTAGCGATTATTATTCGAACTTTTTCTCAGTTTAGACGATTCTTGATGCATTGAATATGTTCTCCTTAGGCCATAGGACATATTTTCCGGGCTCTATAATAACGTGTTAAAGCCACGTGGGATGATGGGAGAACAAAAGGAAAGCTTATAAGTTACGAGCCGATGGTGAGTGACTTATAAGCTTTCGGGGTGTTCTTTCAACATCCCAAGTGGCTTTCAAAAGGCGGAAAATGCATTCTAATGCTTTTATGACATAACTAGTTACATATAGGCTCTATAACGTGGTAAAACATCCGTTTGGAACCTGAATTTACCAGTTAGACGATGCGCACTACGTTCATTTTGTTATAATTACAGATAGAGATGAATGCCAGAAAAAGAACCCATGTGGCGGAGTGGCAACGTGTGAAAATACGGAAGGATCGTACCACTGCTCCTGCACTGAGGGCTTCACTTTTGATCGAAAAACAAAGCAGTGCGTTGGTAAGCAACAAGCATTGGTTCAAAATAAGTACGAATCGTGGGAACATATCCTCCCTGATCACATCTAAATATCTTCCAGAAAGACGGTCATCCGGCCTATCTAGATCTTTAGGGCCAGTCATTTTAAAACAGAGTTTAGCCGTTGTTTAACCAAAACCATGAACTAAACTATTTTAAATTTAGATGGATATTTTATTGAAACATTTATTTTTGAGAACAAAGTTAGGAGGAAGAGGGCCGAAAGTTAGTAATGTAAGGACATTTACTTAATGAAAACAACCCTCGTATAGAGAATGCGTAGGCCCACTGCTTGCGCAAAACCGCGGCCGGGTTTGGGTTAGACCTCCTCTAAATAAACGGCCTTAGTGTTCCCTGAAAGAATTTGACCGAATTGGTATAATTCCTCTAATAAAAGCTATTGATCTAGAAAGACTGGCTGACTTGCTGGAATGTTTTAGATGTGATCAGCAGGTACATACAAAATAGATACATTTCTAAAGGAACTGCTTCCTCCTTCTGTTCCATACCAAAGGTAGAGAATGACAATAATGCACACATTCAGACCATCCAGATTGTGACCGCTTCTTATACAGAGCACAACTTGTCATCTGAATTGGGGCTTTTCGTTCCAGCTACAGAGAAAGGATTTTGTAGGAAAGGAGCTGAACATTTTATGATCGTTTGCCCAACATGCTGATATCTGCGCGGCTTTTAAAATGTTTCCAAGACTTTCGCGAAATAATGCAAATAGTGACTCTGAAAACAACCAAAAAGGAATTATATAAACGAAGAAGTCATTTGTGTAACCGAATTATGCACACATTACGATCTATTAGAGATGAGACGCACAGATGATATCACCAGAAACAAAATGTTGCCTTTGATAACATAAAACAAATAGATATTATATTGCCATGGGCCGGCTCAGAAATAGTTCAAAGAAGGCGTCAGAATGTGGTAAAGAACATGCAGTTCCGCACCATAGTAATTTCTTTTGTATCTCTTTGTCTTTTGTTATATTTCCTCCTTTTCATTTAACTTCCAGTGAAATTGTAACAGATTAGTTAAGAAAAACATTTGAAAAAAATATAAAATAAAAGCGTGGGTGACGCACTCAGCTGCGCCTGATGTGCCGGTTTAATGTTTTATCCACATTTTGACGTCATCCGTCATCCATTTCTGAACAGTTGCTCGACAACATAGAATCTATTTGTTAAACAGACGCACAGCAATATCCATCCATTTTGAACAGTGAGGTCCGTTTACGCAAATTTGGCTTCAGCCGCAGTTCTGCACCTCAGTGATTGCTGGCCGTTGTTGAAAACTCGTGCTTGTATCTTAAATCTTTTCTAAATATTTGATTTCTGCTTCCCTTCAGATGCAGACGAATGCATTGATGTTTACACGTGTAGTGCTCATATGGCTTGTGAGAACACGTTTGGATCGTTTTCTTGCACTTGTCGCCATGGATACCGACTGGACAAAAGTAGCCAAAACTGCACAGGTAATCCATACACGCAAGGATAATTTTCAGGAGTCGAAAAAAGCAAATGATAGAGGATTATCTTTACAAAATCCACTTGGTATAAAAAGACGAAAGGCCTGTTAACAAATCACCTAGAATGTTTGTGGAGAAATACAGTGTTGTTAGGGGTTTTTCACTCTCTTGGCGAATTAACTAGAGGTACTAAGACTCTATACTTTTCTTCTTTTATTCTCTCCTCTTCTATTGTTGCTACTACCTTCTACTACCACAGCTATTTTTCTTCTTCTCTTCTTCTGACTTCAGCGAGGAGTGCCCTCTCATTTAATGTAAAAATCACAGACATGTTTGGGTTAGCTGACCGTGGGAATTTCCAAAACAGGATATTCAGTGTGGGTAAAACTCAAGGTCAGTTTTACCAACCCAAACATGACCTCCTAGCAAACTAGTTATCCTCAGCCATAACAAGCGATTAAAATGTCTAGCACGGTAAGAACTGAGCCAAGTTCAAGCACACACTAAAAGTAAATGATCAAAACTTTACATTCATCAAAATACATTGAACAACGTAGACGCAAAAAGGCGAGACTTAATAAAACAAAAGATAAACCTAAAAACACTCGAAAATATCAATCCTTGCAAAAGCTCTACAACAACAGCAAGAATCAGCTAACCCCTAATCCTAGTCCTTATCCTACCCCTAGGGCATTAAGTTGTTCGAAGGGCAGATAACCCCATCGCACAGATAAGTCGCTATCTAGAGGATAGGTGTTAACAAAAGGTACTGCAATATCCACCAAGCACAGATTTATCCATTGGGTTATCCACCCTTCCAACAACCGGGGCCACGCTTTCCATAGCTGATAAGTGTGATAAGCATTTAAAGTGACTCGGGGTATGAGCTGATAACCGGAGTTGATTGAACCAATCAAAACACAGAACAATATTTTTTTCTTTCAACCCAGTTTACCAGCATATATTCCGAGTCACCTTACATAGAAAGCATTGCGCATCCTGTTGCAGAGCTGAAAAAGCTCCAAATATTCAGACGTTAGAATTAAAGTTTAATGAAATTTAATCAAACAACTATTCCATGAGTGGGAGTAGGATATGAGATGGTAAATAGCCAAGTGAGTAACGCCAAGTTGGCTATAACCAGTCTCGTATCCAACAAACGCGAGTAACGGGCGTTGGGTAAACCAGACAAAGCACGAGAAATTAGCAGAAGGGAACTTAGGCGTTTATCTTGATTTTGCAAAGATAGCTATGTTTGTGCCTCCAATTCATCTGGATAGTCTATACCTTTGCAGTTAGCGATGAGACTAAGTATTTCTTAAAGGAAACACTAGCCTTCTCTCCTGTTCTGGCTCTAAGGAAGTCTCCTGAGATTCGCTTTAACTCCTTATATCAATAACAAATGAATAAAAAAGAGATCAAATGCAAATCATTATTTTCTCTCTGCTGTTTGTAGATATTGATGAATGCGAGGAGGACGACCATAATTGCACCAAGTTTTCAAAGTGTAGAAACCTCATCGGCGCTTATGAATGTCGCTGTAAAGGCGGTTACCAAAAAACGCTACAAGGAGCTTGTAAAGGTAACACATCGTATTCTTTTGTGATTTTTCCTTTTGAAAAGGCTCATTACCGACATTAGGGATGATTGATTGAACCTAAGCAAATGTCGTATGTTAATACGAGTCGAAAAAATAATTGCATACGGTAAGGAGGTACGTTTCTCTGTTCTATTGTCTTACACAAATTTCTTTTATTGTTGTTTTCAGAAATTTGCATTCCTGCTTGCGGTGCAAATTCATATTGTGAAAAAGGAAAGTGTTTATGTCTAAAGGGCTATTCTCTCGGCCCAGACTTCACGTGTGAAGCAGGTTAGTGATGCGACTAAATGAGATGGAAAGGCATGGGTTGGTATGGAAGTGTTAGGGTGGGGTAGAATGGGATGTTATGACAGAAATGAATAGGATAGGATATGATCGGATTGGATAGAATGGGGAATGTGGGATGGGTTGAGATGAAAAATAGTGTCATAGGATGAGATAAGATCAAGTGGGCTGGAATGGAGAGGCATGCGTTGGATTGAGGCAAAGTGGGATGCAATGGGATAAAAAGAGGTTAGTATGTTTACGTCTGGGATAAGACGATATGGCAAAAAATGGGATGTTATTGAACCAGATAGATGGGATAGAGTGAGATGAGATAAAATGAGATGGGACAGAATTGAGCGGAATGCATTGCGATGATATAAAATGGTCTTAGATGAGATACCAATGTGTGGAATGGAAATTTCTGAACACTTCACTCCAAGAATATTCATCCCTTCTCTATAATAATTATAATCGTCATCGTTCTAGCCACGTGAAACAAATCTTCTGGCCATAAATTTCAGACCCACTGCAATAGAAAGGTTTAGCGCCTGTAGGAACTTACGGAATTTCCGCAATAGTGTGTCCCAGGCGTAATTTCCGAGAGAGCTCAGGGCGAAGAGGAGAAGGTTAAGCCTCTGTAGGCACTTGTTGAAAAATTGTTGTAATAGTGCGTCCCGTGGGAAGGCTGGGACGGTAAAAAAAAGGCTCATCCCTGCATCTTTTAAAACTGCAGCCGAATACTTATTACTTTTCTACGTAATAACCACAGGCTTCGTATCGTTACAGGTTTTCTTGGATCATCAGGCGTTTCCCTTCCTTCTCGAGACGGGTTCCTCATCATGATAGCAACGTTACTGTTGTCCCTGGTTCTGCGAAATCTTTCATAATGATTTTTTTTTCTCTTTGTGAATCATTTTTTATTGTACTTAGAGTCTAAAACAATATTTCAGGAACTGAAACCAGATCATAACTATGCCTTGTATCAATGATATCTGTAATTTGATCTCTAAACAAAGATAGTCTTGAAAGAAAGTAATAAATTCTCTTCCTCACTTATCTTAACCTTCACAAAGCAACTTTTGCTCATGGATAACAGTCCATCAGTCTACAGAGAAGAGATGAAGTTAAATCTTGAACATGACAGAGAGCTATTTATGGTTTTTCTGGCGCGTAATAGAGAGCCCGGGCTATGAGAGAATTGGATCATGATTAGCGTGCGTATATCGAATTGCTATGGATGCATGCGGGAATTTTGGCCGGAAAATTCGTGGTTTCTGTTATAAATTCTGAAATTGTACTATTTTAAGATGAAAGCCTCCTATGAAAGACAACTTTACGAAACATCAACACCTGGAAATATATTTACCGTTCAAAAAACGAAGCAAAATAAGTACAAATTTCTTGCAATTACAAAACACGTGTAGTAGATTTATCATGCTTGAATTGATGTTTGCTTGAATCTACGACCAGAAAATTGCGTGGCTTTTCGTTGAAAATTCAGAAAATTGCGCTATTTTAAAACAAAATCCTCTGAGATACAACACTTTGGGACTTATCAACATTTTAACACGTCATAGAGCCCAGAAAAAATGCGTCCCATTGCCTTCATCTCATTAATAATTAAATGCGGGCTCTATAACCTGATAAATTATCCGCTTGGAAACTAAACCGATTAATCAGACGATGCGTACTTTGTTCATTTATGTTAAAACAGTTCTAAAGAAGAGTCCCCAGCATCTCAAAGCCACATTTGAAGTCAGAAAGCTCTGTTTGTTTTTCAAGTCCTAATTCGCCTCGAATTTGGGAATGAAGTTTTGTTAAGATACAATGTATATATGAAGTTCATATATTTTGAACTGCGGTATTAGATACGTACGATGCACGATCCTCGCAGTAGACAGCGCTATTTATGCAATAGCGAAAATCAGACCTGAAAAAAATCAGGCCTGTACGGGATTCGAACCACTGACCTCTGCGATACTTGTGCAGCGCTCTACCAATTGAGCTAACAAGCCAACTGGGAGCAGGCCGTTAAGTTGATTCGCTATTGCCTAAATAGCGCTCTCTACTGCGAGGATCGTGCATCATGCGTATCTAATACCGCAGTTCAAAATATATGAACTTCATATATACATTGTATCTGATTTATCATCACGGGTTTATTACGAATCAACTTAACGGCCTGCTCCCAGTTGGCTTGTTAGCTCAATTGGTAGAGCGCTGCACTAGTATCGCAGAGGTCAGTGGTTCGAATCCCGTACAGGCCTGATTTTTTTCATGTCTTATTTTCGCTATTGCTTAAATAGCGCTCTCTACTGCGAGGATCGTGCATCATGCGTATCTAATACCGCAGTTCAAAATATATGAACTTCATATATACATTGTATCTGATTTATCATCACGGGTTTATTACGAATCAACTTAACGGCCTGCTCCCAGTTGGCTTGCTAGCTCAATTGGTAGAGCGCTGCACTAGTATCGCAGAGGTCAGTGGTTCGAATCCCGTACAGGCCTGATTTTTTTCATGTCTTATTTTCGCTATTGCATAAATAGCGCTCTCTACTGCGAGGATCGTGCATCATAAGTAAGTATTGTTAAATCAACAACTCATTAATGGCTTTCTAGAAGTCTCTAGGTGAGCTTCTTTTATGTTGATTGGCGACAACGTGACATTTGATTTTGGAAAGTGGCCACAATCTTCTAAAAAACCAAATAGCTACGAGTCAAGTTAAACCCCTGTAACGGAATGACCTGGAATAATTGAAGCTGGTAACTGTCAATTGTCACCGTGTGGAAAGAGGAAGCCATCTGCTAGCTAGAATTTGAGGCACTCAGCTATTGTCCATGCGAAACATTTCTGTATAAAGCGCGCCAAAGCCTGGGACATGACAGTTCGTTAAGTTGTGTTCATGAACGTTTAACAGTTAAAAAACTTCTCGAAATTAAAGCGAATAGTTTAGTAGTCAAACCATGCACATTTTGACAATTTTTTTCAAAAGCTATTAGTTAATCAAGCAATTGAGCAAACTGTAGGTAATGTATTTTCGAACGGTGAAACGTAGTATTATGTCGAAACTGTAGTATCAAAAATTTTGTTTTCAAAGATTTTTATAAATATTTATCATGTGTTATCTCAAGCTTGGTAACAGAAGGTTTTTTTCAGTGAGGTATGATTACCAAGTAACTTCAAAATCCTCGTCCTTTTTTTTGTTTGTTTTTTGCAAGGAATAATCCATTATATAAAAATGATTTTAATGCCCCATGTATAAAGTACTTTAAATAAATAATTTTTTACTGACGATAAAGATTTAGTAGCGAGTTGGAAGAGCAATTTACACATTTCTAGTTAAGGGTTATATTGATTTCTGATTATGCCCTCAAGTTGGGTCTGAAAAGAGAACTTCTAGGCGCAAAGTACTTTCTCGAATCCCAACATTAAAGGGATGGGCGAAGTATTATTTTCTAATTTTTATTAAAAAAAAAAAACTAACACACGCGAATATCGTAGATTAGAGGTTAACACATTTAATCTGAGCACGGTCACAGTAAAATGATCCTACTAAAGTTTCTACCAGGCATTTATCTTAATCAAGACATTATAAACTGCTTATTATCTGTTGTTCCTAACAATCGTCAAGATTTTCAGGTAAACAGTGTTGTAATTAAAAAATTAGTTATTCTTTATCATTAAGGTATGTTTACTTTCTCTCGTGAAATTTTTTTTTCAGCCAAATAAACACTTCGATTCTCATAGCCGGCAGTCCATCTCTGATTGTTGGACGGCTATGTTTTAGGAATGATTCAGCAGTAGACTAGCTGGAACGGAACAAGTAATATACACCTTGAAATTATGGCTGTCTTGGCGTGCGGGAAAGATTTAGCCAATCGTGTGCTCTGATTTGCTACACAGTGCATGCTAGCCGCCGGATTTCCGACTAACATGAATGATCAGGAAGAATTCATCCAAACTGCGGCTTACTTGTTCCACTTATGGCAGGTGAACGCACAACGTTGCAGAGTTAAGCTAACAGAAATGAAACATGATATGAAATTCACTCAAGAGAGTATGTGAAATGATACAAGAAACTGGTCAATATCTATTGCCTGAAAGTGGGGGAGGGGGGGAGAGTGGAGCCGGGATTGGTTGTGTCACGAATTGATTGGCAATCAATTACCCTCCAACCCCTCCGGCGATAAAAAAAAGACTGGATCCTAAGCCGGAGCGACTTTTTCTCAAATGATTCTTTAAATAGGTGTCACGTAAAAAAGCTCCAAATTATGACGTGCAATTGTAACATAAGACCACATAACATTTGGCTGAATCCGTGCCACGTCCTCTCACCATAGGAAGAACGAAAAAAGCCTTACGCATCGTCATAAAGCATGCAATCATGGCTCAGTGCCATTCTAAAATAACATAAACGATTAACAGTGAATCCTTTAGGAAATACGTCTTAGTTGTAGCCGGTAGTATAACCGTTCGTGTAACTTGCCACAAATTTTCTTTCATCAAAAGATACCAAAAAATTCACTGATGCAACTAACCTCAGCTGAACTCAACTCAGAACATTTTTATGCGGCTTAATCTTCGAACCCCCAAGGAGTGTTTAGCATCTAATTTCTCGTTACAATATACCCTCTCAATTAAACATTTAAAAGGTCACGAGAATAACGGAACTTATCACCAACCAACGAAGCTCGTGATTGTTGAATAAATTTTCCTTTTCAACACCCTAGAAAATGTGCAGTAAAGAGTATAGTATGGGAAATATGCTTAATGATGCCGGGTTGTCAAGGTTAAGAAACATAAACTCGAATCACGTTCTACTTCTCCGCACAACAATTACGATAGTCTCCTTCGCAGCTCAGGCTGTTCGCAGCTGTTGTTTCTTGTCACGCAACGCGCGAGAGAGCGTGCTGTATGACGGGGCCAAACAACAGCTGCAAAGGATACTGCACTCTTGCGTGAAATGCTTGAATGTTGCCACAAAATTGTAAATGATAAAGTTATAGTGACCACTAGAAAATCAACACCAACTGCAGAAGTGGGGGGGGGGGGGGCGACCGTGCAATTGTCTGGTTCCCCTGGGAGAGTAAGAAGATTTCCACATGCACGATGTGATAAATATCGGGGTTGGACGAGCCTTCTGGTTAACTAAACTGATAACTAAAATCACCTGCATGCATGGAAATCTAATGATTTCTTGGGATATCAAATATGCTGACTCAGAGAGATGAAATCACTTCTTACCTGTCTTCTGTATTACGAAATCCCTCTAAAAGTGGCAGTTTAAACTTGAGTTTGCGATTTAAACTGGCTCAGATCAACCCCAACCAAACTCCTGTAACAAAATACTGGAACCTTATGTTAATTTCTTATTACTGTCACTTTGTCACCACCAGTTTGTTAAATAAACTTTAACAATTGCAACTGGCTTGTCAAATGTCATAATGAAAAGGTTAATGAAAAGCGCAACCGAACAGAAACTTTCAACCAAAGAAAACCACTTTACTTTACTACTTAAATTGCTAATTAAGACGCCCAATCAAAAGTTCTCCCATTGAAAATTGTCTCATTTTTTGTCTTTCTTTACTTTATTACTAAAATTGCTAATCAAGACGCCTAACTAAAACATTTTTCTAATTGCGTCATATTTTGTTTTTCATAGAAATGCGCCTTTCATTCAAGAGAAAGAGTGCAGAAATTCACTTTCTTTTGACTTGTCAAATGTCATAAGGAAGACGAACAGTGTCTACAGTATTAAACAGGAGAACACCTCAGTTCTCTATCTGTATGATATCAGTCCACTTAGAACGGTAAATCCTACTCTTGGCAAATTCCTGGTGGACTAGCACGAATGGTTCCTATGTTCCTTTCTAGTCCTTCCCCACTGCAAATAATGCAGTGAAAACGGACAAAATTAAAATTAAATTACACTACTGTATGGTACTGCACTCTTGGTTTGTTTTGCATTTGTCTTTAGTCAGATGTTGACCTTTGTTCGTTATATCTGTATCTGTATACGTTTGGGCTTCTGGATTGTGTTCCTTATAAA